AAAGGAGATATGGGGACCCTAGCCTCTTCCTGTCTTTCTCTTTGCTTCCCAACCAACCTGAGGTGGACAGGGTCCTTTGCATGCACTCTCACCATGAGACACTGTGCCACCAGAGGCCCAAAGGCAACAGGGCCAAATGACCATGGACTGGAACCTCTGAAACTGTGAGCCCAAACAAAACTTTCCTCCTTTTAAGTTGATTATATCAGATGTTTTGTCATAGTAATAGAAAGCTGACTAACACATTTATAACACAGTAAAATGATTTTTGTGGGGTTTTCTTTGTTTTTCTTGAATTCTGAGTTGAAAGGGTTTCTTCAACCAGACAGCACAAGGAAAAGAAAACAATAGATACATTTGACTATGTTAAAATCGACAACTTTGGCTCATCAAAACAGACCATTTTAAAAAGCAAAAGATGAGCCACAAGCAGGGAGAAGATATTTCATTGCATATTAACTAACAAATGATTAGTATTCTGGCTAGGTAGAGAACTCCTCCACCTCAATAAGAAAAAGGCAAACAGTGAAACGGAAAAATGAGCAAAGGGCTTGAACAGTAATTTCACAGAAGAGGAAAAATAAATGGCCATTGAACATGTAAAAAGGTGCCCAACCTCATTAGTAATCAGGAAAATGCAAATTAAAACTACAGTGCCACACTCTGTTCTACCCACCATATTAGCAAAAGTTTAAAAATCTGACAATACCAAGTGAGGAGCTTAAGGAGTAACTTCATACCTGCTATGGAGAGTGTAGATTGAAAAGACCAGTTTCAAAAACAGCTCGGCATTCTCTAATAAAGCGGAAGGTATACTTACAATTCAGTAATTCTGTTCCACTAGTACACACCCTGGGCAGACCTTGCATGTGTGCCCTGCAATAATGTCTTCTTAAAAACATCTTTTTATTGTTGATGGACCTTAATATTATATATTTATTTATATGTGGTGCTGAGAATTGAACCCAGTGCCTCACACATGCTAGGCAAGAGCTCTCCCACTGGGCTACAACCTCAGCCCAACAATAATGTCTTAATAGCAAAAAGCTGGAAACCGCTCAAATTCCAGTAGCAGTAAAATCAATAATGTGTGGTATTTGCCCCCAGTGGAATATGATACTGCAGGGAAAGTGAGTGAACTACTCACTTTGTGAACATTGTGCTGCATCAAAAATGCAAATAGCAGAATGCATCAGACATTATTACCCTATGTACGTATATAACTATATGACCAGTGTGATTCTACATTATATACAATCAGTAGAATAAGAAAGTATACTCCATTATATATGATGCATCAAAGTGCATTCTACTGTCATGTATAACTAATTAAAACAAATTTAAAGAATTTTAAAAATGCAAATAGCAGAGGAATCATGCAGCATAATTCATAGTTAGGAATTGCAAGTGAACAATCACTGTACAGGGATACATATGTAGGTGGCAAAAGTAAGAAAGGCAAGGAAATGAGAAACACAGGGTTTGGGGCAGTGCCTTCCTCTGAGGGGAGGAGACAGAGCCATGAAGTAGATGGAGTCAGATGAAAGAAGGGGTGAGGTATCCTCTGTCCTCCAACCTCTTTATTAGGCGAGTCTTGGGCATATGACCTTATGATTTTGTTATCTTTCTTTATGCCTTACAGATGGGTATAAACACCAGATTCTGGTCAGTCGCCCCCTAGGACAGAGAGAGTGGGATCAAGGTATAATATATTAGTTTATGTAATATTTTATTTTTTCTCAGAAAAATCTAACATAAACTGTGAAATTTCTTGAAGTTGAAAAGTGGACATGGGATGATTCACTCTGATGTACTCTGTAATTTTCTGTTTGAAATGTTTCATCAAAACATTATAATAGGGGCTGGGGCTGGGGCTCAGTGGTAGAGCACTTGCCTAGCATGTGTGAGGAACTGGGTTAGATTCTAAGCACCACATATAAATAAATAAAAATAAAGGTCCATTGACAACTAAAAAAAATTTTTAAAAATACTTAAGAACATTATAATAAAAAGAAAAAAAATGCATATTAAAACGAGAGGCTAGAGAGAAATACATCAGAATGCCAACTAGGGTTGTTTTGGGAATACTGAGGGAGACTGAGATTATATGCATTGCTTTCTGTTTTTCAAACTTTTTCCAGTGAGGGTGTCTTATTATTTTTTTTTTAAGTATTTGTCCTTTTAATGCTATATGCAATTGTTTCAGAGCAAGGTTTCTTCAACCTTCATACTAAGGCCATTTTTTTGTTTTGTTTTGTTTTTTGGTATCAGGGATTGAATTCAGGGGCACTCTACCACTGAGACACATCCTCAGCCCTATTTTGTATTTTATTTAGAGATAGCACCTCACCATTGCTGAGGCTGGCTTTGAATTCACGATCCTCCAGTCTCAGCCTCCAGAGCTACTGAGATTACAGGTGCACACCACTGCATCTGGCCTTATTACCTTTTGTAATTATGAAAAAAAAAACCTTCTAGAAGCCCCTTCTTTTGACTTATTCGTCTTCTAAAAATGGAGCACACTAAGATGTGAAGGCTTGAAACATTCAACAGAGACTTGTTGCTTTCCATACTAATTAAGGAAAGTGCATCAGCTAACAGTGGACTGAAGTCTTAATCCAAAAGCAAAATGGCAGACTTGGTCTCTAGACCCTTCATCCAAGCTGCCTGGAATAGACCCCTTGTTTGACCCCTTCTTGAGTAGATATCTTGGTTTTGTTTTGTTTTCCTTCTTGTGCTGGGAATTGAACCCAGGGCATCAGGCATGCCAGGCAAGTGCTCACAACTGAAATCTATCCCAGTCCATTGAGAAGATTTTTTTTTTCTCTCTCTATGCCTCAGCTTCCTTGTCTGTAAACTGGGCCTAATTATACTGAACACCTCCCATAGTAATTATAAGCATTACCTGAGTAAAGTCTCACCCAGTGCTTAGAAGAGTACCTAGCATCTAGCAAGCACTAGATGTACATTTCCATAAATGAAACAAAAAGAAGAGGGTCTTGTAAAGGGAGGATGGGAGGGTGTTGCTTCCAGGGGGTGAATTGGGGCACACCAGGAGTCTGGTTTCTGGGAACCAAGCTGTGTGTGATATCAGCACAGCTCTTTTTTTTTTTTTTTTATCCTCCTTGGCTCTTTTGCCCCTCAGGGCATCTGTTCTTTTTTTTTTTTTTTGGCCTTGGACACATCCATGGGAGAAGAGTCTTCTCTTTCCTGGTCCAAGTGAGGTGGTATGGGTTCTGGAGTTAAATTCTGAGGTGACCCAGCTCCCGGAGATATTAAACAGCCAGGGTCCCAGGCCTCTGGGACCTGTGAGGGACCGTGCTGCCACCAAAAGCATCTTGCAGGATCAAGCCTGGGATTTGGAATCACTGTGTCTACTCACAGGACGATATTTCTACATCACAGTGACATTCCCTGTGTGTTGGCTGGGTGTTCTGTCCTCAGTGCTTGGGAACTCCTATGAGAAAATATTGTTCTCTCTCTTCCCTGGATGATGATATGGCTTGTTGCTCTTATCATTCTAATTGATAACAATTATGGATTAACCCTAGATATTTGCCTTGATCACCCAGGAGGTACTAAGTCCACTGCTATTCCAAACCCATTCCTACAACTGAGTGGGGCTCAGGCCAGCACTTTCCCATCATGAGCAAGCTGGCCCCATGCTGTTGCCAAAGACCAAGTGTAGTGGGATAGAGTTATTTGAAATCCTGCCTAATAGGACCTACTTCTTTTGCTTGTTTTAGCTTTCTGGTTCTGAAAAAAAGAAAGAGGAGGAAGCCATTGTTTTGAGTTCAGTGCTTCAAAGTACGCCTGCTTGAGGACATATGCCTTAATGACTGTGGTGGTTATTTTTAGTCCAAATGTGGCCTCCAGCTTGTTGTGCCCTTCCCTTGCCATGTCAGGTGCTAGTCGGCTTGGAGATGACCCTAGTCTCCAGTGGGGGGCTCTCCAGCTGCTGCAGAAAACAGAGGGGTCACAGCGTGGTTCTCAGTGGCATTTTTTCCGGGGCAGCTGTGCCCTCACAGCAGGGCCTGCTTGGTTCTGCAGGGAAGCTCTGAAGCCAGATGGCTGCCTCGTCAGGGGACCTGGACCAGCGTCAGCCTAGCAGGAGGGAGGCAGAGCATGATATGAGGAAATCAGGAGAGACCCTTCTTGGAAGGACTGGACGCAACAGCCCACACCATGTCAATGCACCTCTAGAAAGGAAATTGTGATCCATCTTTCACAAGTGGCAGCCTCTTTAAGAGGAGGTAACCCCCAGGATCTAGGGACACTGCCATTCTCCAGGCCTCATGGTTCAGTTCCTTTGGGTCATTTATTCCCTCTGCCAGACACCCAACTGCTACTGCAGGGCATGATGCTCTCACAGGATAAAGCCACTCTGGGCAGATGCCACTTCATCCCATTGTTGGATTGGATGGATGTTGGGAGGAGAAAAACAAAACAAAACAAAACACCAAAACCACCCTTCCCACGCCAGGCCTGCAGAAGTTTGGCCTTGAATGGACCCAGCTACGCTGGTCAGGCATCCCGCATTCCCTGGCGGCCCCTTCTCCCTCCTGGTCACTGTCTACTGGTGACTCACCTCTGGTTCCCAGGAATGTTGTTATTTTAGCCCCAGTTTTATTAAGACTGTGCCCAGATTCCCTACAAATTGACAATTAAGCAACACAGTGGCCCCCAGAGAAAGCATGAAAAATAAAAAATAGAGGGCCAGAGGCGGATGTTCTGCTATTCTGCAGACCCCGGGCTCCTTCCGCAGCAGAGCTGCCTGGGAGAAGAGACTGGCGCATGGAACCAACTTGGTGCTCCCTTGGAGGCTTGGCCCCAGCCTCCTCCAGGCAGCCTGCCCATGGGGAGGTGCGCCCTTGGCCTCCCGCCCCGAGGGGCCCTAGGGGGCTGGGCTGGCTGGAGCGAGGCTGTGCTGGAGTGGGGGTGCCCCTGATATCTGTAAACCCCAGTCGGGCGCCGCCCTCCGCCCGCGCTCAGAGTCCAAAGCATGTCTCTGGGGCGGGTGATAAGGCCCCTCTGAGCGCGCGGCCCGCAGGGTGCAGCCACCCTGCCCCCGCAGAGGCTGCGGTCTTCCCGCGGCTGGCCGCAGCTGTTCCTCCACGCGACCGACTGACCGTCGGCGGGATCCTGTTTGGGGATCAGCATGATGGGCTTCTGCAAAGTGAGTACTGAGCGGCTGCTCAAAGCAGGCAGGGAGTGATGCTAGGAAAGGTGGGGGCCTGAGAAGCCCTGGGTAGGACGAGGGGGTGTGCAGCTTTGCCGCCTGCAAGGGGAGGGAGAGGGTGCCTGCGTCTACCCACCCAGAAAACCACCTCCTGAGCTCATCTTTGGAATAACTTCAGCTCTCATGCGCTCTGGCTCTGTCTCTGAATGTAGTGGCAGGTGGCCTCTGCCGGACTCAATTAATTCAGTTCATATTTTTTACAGCCAGAGATTTGCTGTCAAATTGAGTTCCACCTACCTGGGTCTCTTGAATTGTTCTCTCTGCATTAAGGGTTGGGCAGGATGAGTTAGGGATCATAATCCAAATCCATGAAATTCTAGAAGCTTTCCTTTGACTCTCCTGAGCAGTGTATTTTGTAGATGTGTCATGGGACCTGTACCCCGGGGGAGTATAAAGAGGCACCTGTGAGAGTGGGCTGTCCTGCCAGGGTGCCCTGTCACCCTTTTGATGGGGGGCTTGCTTGTCTCCCTAAGACTCACAAAGAGCAGTCACATAGTGGTCATATTTTCTTCCTTCTTGAAATTATAAACTTTGGGTTTATGTTGTTAATTAAAGGGAGAGAAGTCTAAGAAGGAAGAAGGGGAGAAATGCCAGTATAGATTTTGGAGATAGGGTGTGATGAACATTTTTAAGGATAACAGAGCATTACAGGGGGTTACCCTTGCCATCCCCAGTTCTCCCTGAGAATATAGGATGTACCCTTGCCCAGCAGCTCTGCTGTGTAGTGTTTTCCAGTGGGCTGTTGATGGACTTGGAGTTCAGAGCTGGATATCAGGCCATATGCTCAGAGCATGAATGAAAGGGATTCTGGTGGCCAAGGAGGAGATCCACTCTTTTATGTGTCTAACCGTTGCCAGGTGCAGGGAAACAATATTAATTTCTTTTCCTAAGTATGGAAGCTTCTGTGGAGAAATCTAGGGACTCCCACTGTGGTCCCACTAGTAGCACATACCAGGTTAAGTTTATCCAGGTCTTTCCCTTTTGCTGCACCATGCTAGAACCTACGTTCTAGAGATCCTCATAGGGCCTGCTCTTAACAGACCACAGGAAGAAGAGAGGTTAAGAAGAGCAAGTCAACTGTCCCCAGGCCCAAATACAAGTCTTGTGTTTTGCAGGAATAAGGAATCTCCCTTGAACAGAATGTGTAAAATGAGTGGTATGCTTTCACTGACCTAATACCCTGAGAGAGCCGCTTTTCTCTGTGTCTCAGTTTCTTTGCCTGGGAATAGGGTATGTTATGAATCTGAAGTGTGGCAGGTTATAAGTGCATTTGGAAAGGAAAGAAAAGACTTCAGAGTTGGTCATTGTAACCAGAGTCAATAAATTCAGCTGGTCCCTGACTTTAGGAATCAGATATAATTAGCTTTTCAGCCCAGGTTGCCACCCCTCAGCTAGTTCAAAATGGTTTGGCCAGAGTCTGAACAACCAGCTGACTTCTTTTGAAATTAATCTAAGTGAGACATATTTAGAAAGGCAGGGTTTTTTGTAATTCTTGCCAAAAAAATATGAGAAAAAGATAAGAGGGCTCTCCAAAGGTAAAGTAACTGAAAGCCTTTGTCCTCAAGGCTTTCATAAATGTTTGTTGAACACCTTTCAACAAACATTTATCAAGTGACATGCGAAGTCCTGTGTGGCATTGTGACAAAAGAGTGAGCCACACAGACTAAGATCCAGCCCTCATGGAGCTTATGTTCCCATAGGTGAAGGAAAAAGTGAAAAATGAAGTAAATGAGTAAATTACACATCTACCAAAAGACTGGGGGTGTAGCTTAGTGGTAGAACACTTGCCTAGCATGAAAGAGAGAATTGGGTTCAGTCCTAGCACCACACACACACACACACACACCAGGTAATAAGTACTGTGGGGAGTGAGTAGCAGGCAAGAGGAATAAGAAGGTTGGAGAGGTCTACAAGTTAATAGTGTGTTCAGAAGAAGCTTTAGTGAGGGGCTATTGAGCAAAGACTTAAAGAAGGTAAGGGCTAGAGCTATGCCGCAATCAGGAGGAAGACGCAGAGGAAGCAATACATGCAAAGGTCCTGGGGAAGGCATGTATTGTGGAAATAACCAAGAAACTAGTGTTGCTGGAACAGAATGAGGAAGGAGGAGCTGGAGAAGGTGAGGTCACAGAAGTAGCAGGGAGAAGACACTGGAGCAGAGGCATGGGTACAGAAAATAAAGGATTTTATACATCATTGTGAGGATTTTATTTTTACCTTGAGACAGGAGGCTTTAGGCGGTTTTAGTATGAGACAAATAAAAACCAGTATGATTTGAATTCTACCTGTGCCTGCCACTTCCTGACACCTTTGAAACCAAATCAATCCACACTGCTCTCACTGAATTCTAGTGCAATTGTTCTCAACTTTTTTTTTTCTCCCTCTGGAATAGCAGGGCTGGTTGTTAATGTAGTTATGCATGGTATTTCCATGGTTATAATCTGGTGGTGTATTGATACACCTCTTCTCCTTTACACTCTCAAAATGTAATGAGAAAATAAGTGGGGCCACAGGTGCTCCTTATGTAAAAAAAAAAATCACCATCAATAAAATTAAAAAGGAGACAGAAGTCACCATCAAAACACAATTAGTATGCAGTATGGTAATTTGTAATCACACAGCTGCTAATGATCCCTGGTCTTCTTTGAACCCTGGTGTGGGTGAAGCAGATGAGTGTTGAGGAATGCTAGCTGTCAAGAACGCTCATTGGGCATAAGCACGTGAGAGTGGAGCTGCTAGAGGGGAACCTCAAATTTGCTCTGATGTAAAAAGGAGCAAGGTCTTCCTTCCCTTTGACACTTTTTCTTTTCTTTTCTTTTGTAGAGCTAGGGATTGGACCCAGGGCTGCAACCAAAGCACTATTTGAGAAAGGGCAATCTCACCCTGTCATCCTCTGTTTTAAATCTTCTTCACGGTGTTGTGAGGACAGGGTCCAGTCTCCTTCATCTGGCAGTTTTAGTCCTGGTTCTGTCATCTTTCCAGCCTTGCTTCATACTCAGTCTTTCCAGGATCATAGCTTCAGGCACACTGTTAGCTCCCTTGGCGGGGTGCCTGTAGACATTTTTATATTATATTTGTAGGCTTCACATGGGTGAGATTTGTGCTGTTATCCATTATTACATCCTTGACATTTACTGTAGTGTCCAGCATGTAGTAGGTGCTCATTAAATATTGGTGACACTAACAAATGAACAATAAAATTGCTTGCAAAACACCTCATGACTGATTACTCTTTGCCAGTCTGGTTGCAAACCTGCAATTGAAAGCGATCGCTCTAACGGTTTGTATAGAAGATTTCTTACTTTGCTCTTGGGATTTAAAAAAAAATAATCCTAAGATAATTTTTTCTGAACTCTCATTGCACCTTACGGGAACCTCCCTGAGGGCCCTTCTCATTTTCCATACCTTTACATTTATTTACTTCTATGTCAGCTCTCCTACGGGCTTGGGATGGGAGGAGGGCAGCACCCACACCTGACTCATCTTTGAGTCACTTCCTCTTATTTTCCCCCAGCATCCCCTGAAGTCTTGAATGTGGGATGGAAAAAATATATTTGTTAGATGAATTGATTTAAAACCATGAATGAGTGTGAGCTCTTGTTTTCCTTTCACTTGCCCAAATTGTGAGCATCGACTGCTAGGAATATGTTGGTTGGGCTATTAATTTGGAAAGCAATTCTCTAGGCAGGCCCTGTGCAGAAGCAGGTGGTCACAGCCTAATGGCCCAAGGTCCCAGCTAGCTTGATATTCCAGTTTCTAAGGCACCCCTGATCTGGACTCCAGCCCTGGTGAACCTGCTCTGGGCAAGTGCAAAGCTTGTCATCATTCTCAGGCAGGCACTGACAACCAATTAGAAGTCGAGTGAGAAGTGGAATTGCCTTCGCCCCTCACCTCCCGCTCACCCTTGACCACCATCCTCCCTTTGTGGCTCACTATCAGAGTAGAGGCTGATTTATCTCCTGAATTTAGTGTCCCAGCACAGGAAGGAAAACACATTAAGGGAGGAAGCGGTCCCATTGCTAATGGGCCTGACCAACCAGCTGCTAAAACCTATTAGCGAGCAGTGGTAGGAGGTACAGGAATGGAAACAGCGTGTGTTGCCTGAAGACAAAACTTGTTTATGGACAAAGTAGTAAAAACAGAACAAGCAAGCAGCCCTTGCCCCCAGCTCCTCTGGACCCAGTTGTCTTTGGAAGGTAGTGGGAAAATTCTCTAACCCTCCCGGGGGAGGGGGGGAAGGGGTGATATTAGTCAGAAAACTGTCCTGCTCTCTCCAAAAGTGGGACAAGAGGCAATATTTTGGAAGAAAGAGCACCTGGTTTCAATTTCCTTTGGAAAGCCTATCAAAGCTGGAAATAAGCTGGCTTTGGTCTAGCTGTTCTCCTTAGTTCCCTGGTGGCCGAGCTGTTGATCATGGGTGATGAAGGTTTTCGAACAATGCAACAGATTCCAGCTCCTCAGAAAACCCATTAGCAGCTGAGCAGGCTGCCTCCGGGAGCTGGGATGAGCTGGGGTGGGTCTTGGTGTGTGTTTGTGGTTCCTTTTTGCTCCAGAAGGAGGAAATGACTGGGGACCATTTATCCAACATCTGTGGAACATGTCGATCTGTCCTGAGTCCCAACGTTTCTGTCTCCATGATGTAATTTGAAAGTGCCAGCCAAATGTCCAAGTCCTGAAACACCTTAGCCACCTATCTGCCATGAAGCCCACAGGTCCATCACTGGAGATTCTTCCTTAAAGGGGGCTTATCTCTAAAAATTTTCCATTAATTGCATACATTGACATCTTTCTAAGAGGATCTTGAGTTATACAGATGCAAGGGACTAATTCTTACTGGGATTTTTAGAGGATTAAGTTAACAGTGAGGAGTGGAGTTCAGGGCAGGTTCATGAACAGATAGGGAAGAGGAGGTGCTAGGACCAGGGTCAAGAGCAGGAACA